AGGCGGGCTGTGCGGGGCGGGGGCGCGCCGCCGGCTTTCAAAAATGCATGCGTGGGTCAGGGCGTGTCAGACCCACCCAGTGATCCTGCGGCGTCATGATGACATCACCAGGGGCGGGCAAGCAGGGCGATGGAGAGGAACCAATTGGGGGTTGGGAACCAAGATCGGGCGTAATCGCTGGCCGAGGATAGGCAAGACGAGGGAAGGGAAGCGCGGCGGCAGCATGTGGAGGCGATGCAGCCGCAACTGCGGCAGCTACAACTTGACGCCAGCGCCTCCAATCACTTATCCTGCCTTAGCCAAACACGCTCCGGCCACTTTGTGATCCGTGATCTGAGATCTGAGATCGCAGATCGCAGATCACAGTCAGAGCGCACCTTGAGGTCGTCCAGCAGGTCTGGCTCGTCAAAGTGCGAGTACACCTGGTGGGTTAAACCGGTGGCTTTGAGGACTCGAAAGATGGCCGGGATGTTGCTCAGCCTGTGGCACACCTCAAGGACCTGTGGAGAATTTGGCATGGGCCCAATCGAAGATTTTGCCCGATTAAGCAATTGGCCCGATTGTTGGATTTGTGTGGGTGCTTTTTCAAGCTGCCAGACCCCTGTCGGTGCAACCCTGTGTGTGTGTGTGAGTGTGTGTGTGTGTGTGTGTGTGTGTGTGTGTGTGTGTGTGTGTTGGGGGTGTGGGTGTGGGTGTGTGTGGGGGGGGGGATCAAGGAGGCCACAGCAAGGGTGCCTGCGAAGGCCAGCAGACCGTGCGACGGGCAGCCTCATAACAGAAATGCCATCCTGAAACGCCGCGACGCTCGGCTGGGTCGAAACATGGCGCCGCCGCCGCCGCCGCCGCCACAGCCGTCGCCGCCGTCGCCGCCGCCGCCGCCGCCGAGGGCGGGCCCGCGCCTCGTGTGGCGGTCGTGGGGTGCAGCCGTGCGACTCACCCCCGTCCGCGGGGCGGCTGCGCCGCACGCGGCGCGTTCGCGCGCCCAAACCACCGCTTTCAACGTTCAGTTGACAGGCGGGCTGCGGCTGCGCGCCAGGCCGGCGCACCTTTTGTGAGGTGGTGAGGTGGGGATAGACCAGGGGCACCGTGGTCACCACCACGAGGTGGCGCACGCCAGCTGGCAGCTGGTAGAGCCGCATGAACAGCTCAAAATAGGTGTCTATGCCGATGATCTGGAGGTTGGGGATGGGGGTGGGGTGGGGTGTTTTGGGGGACGTAAGGGGTACGACCCGCACTAGTAGTGGGGTGAGGGGCTGCAAGGTCTTGGCTTGGAGGAGGACAACTCCTGGCGCTGGAGGGGTGAGAAGCAACAAACGCCACCTGCGGCAGGGCGCGCAGACTCCCGCGCCGGCGCCCGCGCCCCGCCTTCAGCCGCGGCGCTAATGCCCCCTCTCCGTCGCGGCCGGGCCGGCGGCGCCAGCCTCCGTCCTCTGTAGCGACCGCCCGGCCGCTCGTGCCACCCCTGGCGCGCATGGGCGCAGGCGTCGCAGTGTTGTTGACCGTTTGACCGACCTGCTGGGTGGTGCGCTCCGCCCGCTGGTCGGGCAGCGCCAGCGCGACCCTGGGCCCCAGCAGCAGCAGTTGGCTGTAGCCGCGGCCGCCAAAGTACTGGTGGGTGCGCGCCAGGGCGTGGGTGGTGTGCAGCTGGAATAGCAGGTAGAAGCTGCACGGGCAGGATTGAGCGCACAGGAGGGTTGGCACCGTGTGTGCGTGTGTGTGTGTGTGTGTGTGTGTGTGTGTGTGTGTGTGTGTGTGTGTGTGTGTGTGTGTGTGTGTTAGTTGTCGCGTGTGTTGTGAGAGGCACAGGCGAGACACGCAGGAGAGATGAGCAACTAGCGGCTGCGACAGACGCCAACGGCATCCTGGAGCCTGCCAACGCCTTGTTTGTAATGAAGGGCCGACGCGGCGTAAACACACTGCATCCGCCAGTTGTGTGTGCAATGTCACTCGTAAACAGGCACGATGGAGGCAGAGCGAGCGCCTGCCCGAGCGCGCGCACCGCCGGGCGGCGGCGTATATGCCCTTGAAAACGGGGCAGGTCTGGACCCTCTCGGGGTACGAGCCCCAGCCGTCAAACAGGTCGTGGTCTGGGGGGGAGCGGCGAGCGACAATGGACAGTTGTGGGTAGGTGCAAAATCATGTACGATTGCTGCAGAGGGAGGCAGCAGTGAGGGTGCATAGAACGGATCCTGCCCTCGCGGTGTGGGTGACTCAAGTCAGACACCTGCATCCGCTTTAAAAATGGCACAGCATTTGGTGGCCGGGCTGGTCAAACCTTGGTCAACACTAAGCAAGCGCAGGTCGCCGACGGCGACGAAACTGGAGCGTCCCGAGGCGATGCACGCGTGCGACAGGGCGTCCTGCTGCGGCGGTGCTGCGCTGCGGACGGCCTGTGAAGTTCCCATAAGCGCAGCTGGCAGTGTCACCAGTGCTGCGTGCGACTGACAGGTGCAGCTGGCAAAGGTATGACTCACCGTCCCAGGTCATGACCTGCGGCACTCTGCCGTAGACGTGTGAGATGATGGGGTTCGCCCAGTGGGTCGCATAGTGGTGGAAGTAATACGACTCAACCTACAGTATCCGATTATCATTGGGGGGTGTGTGGATTGTGATGAGCAGGGCACAAATCAGTGGCCTGCAACTGAGCAAAGTGCGATCAAGCGGTGTGAGATTGGGTGGCATGCAAGTGAATGGGGTGCGAGTGGGTGGAGTGGAGCGTGGCGGGGAGCGCGGGGGCGCACGCCGTAGGAGAAACTAAGCAGGCCAGCAGCGCCAGCGCTTATTGTTGTGGATGTGAGTTTTGTCCAGGTGGAAGGCACAAGAAGACCTTGCACTTGAATGCAGCCCGAGTTTCTGCGGCGCCGGCAGCACACGCGGGGGCTGCGTGCAAGCAAGCCTCGTCAGTCTTGAAACCCCGCCACCACCAGGTGCTGATCTCGCTGGCGCACGCTTGTCGCCACTTGACACTGCCTGCTGATGGCGGTCGCTCATGTCCCATACATTTTGATGAAGGCTTGTACCCGGCTGCACCCGCGGGCGGGGCGTCCCGCAGGCGGAGGGCCGGCAGCGCGCGCTGATTTGAGGCCCCTGCTGCAAGGCCCATCCCTTGGCGAACCTCGTCCGCCATATCTTGATTGTAGGGTGAATCAAATCGGTTGTCCTTTGATGGAATCTCCAGCCACCTGGTTTGCGGGCCAGAACGTATGGTGGGGTGTGGTGTTGCATGCCCCAGGGTCGCCCGCTTCTGGACCCATCCGGGGTGATGGAGTTGGGCTTGAGGGAAGGCGGTAGCGGTTGTGTGAGCGCGGGCATGCGCGAGTGCGCGACACATCGTCGACAAGCGGCACACATCCAAGAAACCAAGCGTAACCGCTGTGCAGCGGGTCCAGCATGTGACAAACGGGTAATCCTTGTTTTGAAGCCATGAGGCAGCTCTCAAGCTGCGCGCTTTGTTTGCGCTGCATGACTGATCAAGCCACTTGGGTATCGGCCGCCAGGAGTCAGCTGGGCGTGAAAGTGTGGGCTCGGCCGCCATGCTGGTGCTTAGACAAACCGCCCCTCCTTGAAGGTGCACCTGCCGTGGGGTGGGGCAAGGTCTTCGGACACGCTCTATGTTTACTGATCATGACTCACTCTTTGAGGGAGGGCGTGGTGAAGACGTCATCGTTGTAGAGCTGGTCCCCGCTGCCCACCTGGGGTGGGGTGGCCAACGGGCCAAAACGCAGTCGTGCATCTGGAGTGCTTCTACAGTATAATGGTCGATTCGATACGTTTGTGTGTGTGTGTGTGTGTATGTGTGTGTGTGAGAGAGAGAGAGAGAGAGAGAGAGAGAGAGAGAGAGAGAGAGAGAGAGAGAGAGAGAGAGAGAGAGAGAGAGAGAGAGAGAGAGAGAGAGAGAGAGAGAGAGAGAGAGAGAGAGAGAGAGAGAGAGAGAGAG